CCTCAAGGTCGGTATAGCTCTGGCTCTGCCCCTGCCTCTCCTGACCGGGTGCCCACTGTTCCTATCACAGCAAACTGAGCCCAGAGTACATGCTCCGCAGCCACCAGTCCTGACTTCAGATTTCAGCTCCTGCAGCTACCTGCTGTGTGGCTGTGGACGTGCGCCTTAGTGTTTGAGTCTCAGTGTCTTGTCTATAATGGAAATGATAATACCTGTGTGTGATAATACACTGTGTGGGCATGAGAGCTAATGTCTGAAACTTTCTAGCGCAGCACTTGGCCCTCGATAATGGGACTGTCTCTCATGATCTTAAATGCAGGATATTACTGAACCCTTTTCTTTAATCATCTGTTGTATGCTAGATGCTAAGGATCTGGAGCAAATTAGTCTTGCCCTTGAGCTTATATTCTGGTGGGAAAGACTGGTATCTGGAAGGGCTGTAATAGGCTCAGGTCTGAGAAGGGACATCTAATCCTGCCCCAGTGGGCCAGGGAAGCCCTTGGGGGAGGTGACGCCTAAGCCCCATCTTCATGTATGAGTTGAGTAGGGGGAAGGATGTTCCAGGTAAAGGAGGCAGCATTTGCATGGAGGGAGAAGAAGGCAGAGCTCATGAGTGAAGTGCCCGTGATTGGGGGAGACGGGAGGGTGAGGGCAGAGGTCCAGAGAGGAGTCTAAAGGGGCAGGCAGGAGCCACTCAGGAGAACCTTATGTGTCTGCCAGGGGTTTAGACTTGATCCTGAGGGCTGTGGGGAGCCATGGAAGGATTTGAAGCAAGGGTGTGTCAATCAGTTTTGTGGTTTAGATCAGCCGGCCTGGCCGAGTGTGGAATGTGTTGGAGGGACAAGAGAATAGTCAGGGAGACCAGCTGAGAGGCTGGCCATGCATCTAGGGGAGGGGGCTGGGGGCTGACTGGAGGCAGGGCTGGGAGTGGAGAGTGGCGGCAGAGGTGAAGGTGTTGAGCTCAGGGCGAACTTGGCAGGACTCTGATGGATTAGCAGTGGGGAGGCCGGGCCGAGACGTTGTCACAAGTAACTCAGCTCTCAGCCTGGCACCTGCCTCCCTGGTTCTGTGTTCTTGTTTCTCGTCAGTTTTCTCTTCTCCTCAGGTGCCACTGGTGTTGGCAGGCCACAGGGGAGAGTTTCTGTGTCTCGTGGTGGTGTCTGACCGCAGGCTTTACGTGTTGAGGGTGACAGGGGAGATCCGGTGAGTGGGCCGGGGTGCGGCTGGGAGGGTCGGGGCCCCTGCTGTCACATACCCTCACTCTTTTCTGTCACTCGGCCCCTCATTTGCTCCCTAGCGGGCCTCCGGCTGGCTGGCTACAGCCGACCCTGGCCGTCCCCCTGCAGGATCTGAGCGGCCTAGAGCTAGGCCTGGCAGGACAGAGCCTGCGGCTCGAGTGGGCAGCTGGAGGGAGCAGTTGCGTCCTACTGCCCCGAGATGTCAAGCATTGCCGGGCCTTCCTGGGGGAGCTCACTGGTGAGACAGGAACGTAGAGACAGGGTGGGTGGGGTGGGGGCAGCGGGGCCTAGGGCTGAGCCCCCATGTCTGCACTTGGCAATGGAGACAGACTCATGTCCCTTGAAGACGTCTCTGATGTCTGGAAATTCGGGGAAGGGGCAGATGTTGGGGGTGGAGAAGTTGGGATGGAGGCACTCAGAGTCTCCTGTGGGCTCCCTCTCTTTGCTGGCTGGCCCAGATGTCTTGCAGTCTCTGCCCCCCACCTGGAGGAGCTGCGTGAGGGCCACGGAGGAGGTGGTGACCCCCCAGCACCGGCTCTGGTGAGTCAATGGGAGGCTGGGGTGGTGCCCTGATGGCAGCTCTGGGAGCACAGACCCTCTCCCCACAGAGCCCCATGTGTGCTCAGCACCGAGCACTGAGCAGCCCCTGCCCTCATGCCCATACCTTTCCGTAGGCCCTGGGGCTTTCTGCCTGTTCCCCTCTTTCGCCCCACTTTATGCCCCCAGCTAACCGGCCTTCCCGTGTCTGCCACATCCTCCCAGGCCACTGCTGGACAAAGACTCTTCCCTGGAGGCTCCCCGGTTCTTCTACCTTCGGGTGTTCCTGGTGGAAGGTGAGGCTGCTGGCTGCAGTGTTTGAGGGACTCCCAGGGACTCTGCCTCCCCATTCCCTGTACCCATCTTGTCCCAGGCCACCAGCCAGTCCCCAGCACCTCTGCAGTGCTCTTGTGGCAGGTCTTAGTTCCCAGCTGTGGACTTCCTCTCACTCGCGGGCATAACTTAACGACAGATCAGTGCTCCCTGACTCTGCGGGGGTGTAGCCTGGAGCTGCCCTGACCCCCAGGTGTCCAGACACCTCTGCTTTCAGGCTCAGGTGGAGCAGATTGCCTGGGGCTGTTCTGCCTCACCCTGTCAGAGAAGGTGGGATTGGATCCTCCCTTCTGAGTGGGGTGGGAAGTGGGCAGGTTCCCTTTGTTTTGGGCCTCACAGGTTTTGGAGGCTAGAGATTTCTGGAGTTTGGGAAGGGCTAGCCATGGCCCCTCTGAGTGTGGTTCTCTTCTCTCCTGAGCAGCATGGACGCTGGCCCAGGGGCCTGGGCTCCTCTGGGTTCTTCCACGGCCTCACCTGCCTGTCTCCCTGCAGGCTCCTCTCCATGCCCTGTGTCCCTGCTGCTGACTCTGTCCACCCTGTACCTGTTAGACGAGCACCCTGCCGGACCCCAGGCAGAGCCGCCTCCTCCAGCAGCATCTGGCAAAGCTTCTGAGAAGACCGCTCCCTTGGGGCCAGGCCCTTCTGTGGGTGTCAGGGAGCAGCAGCCACTCAGCAGCCTGAGCTCAGTGCTGCTCTACCGCACAGCCCCGAGGGACTTCCGGCTGGTCTTCTACGATGAGGTGTGGAGGGGGCTGTGGGAGACGGGTGCAGGTGGA